CAGGGAAGCCCTAGTCAATTGCTTTTTGTTTGTTTGTTTGTTTTGCTATTGAACTGTGTGAGTTCTTTATGTTTTTTGGATATTAAGCCCTTATCAGATATGATTTGCAAATATTTTCTTTCATTCAGTAGGTTGCCTTTTCAATTCTGTTGATGGTTTCCTTTGCTGTGCAGAGGCTTTTTAGTTTGATGTAATCCCACTTGGTTATTTTTACTTTTGTTGCTTTTGCTTTTGGTCTCAAATTCAAAAAATTATCGCCAAGACCTATGTCAGGAAGCATACTGCCTAAGTTTTCTTCTAGGAGATTTATGGCTTCAGGGTTTACATTCAAGTCTTTAATCTATTTTGAGTTAATTTTTGTGTGTGGCCTAGGATAGTGATCTAGTCTCATGCGTTGACTTGTGGCTGTCCAGTTTTCCCAACACTGTTTATTGAAGAGAGTGTCCTTTCCCCATTGTATATTCTTGGCTCCTTTGTTGTAAATTAATAGACCAGATATGTGTGGGTTTATTTCTGGGCTCTCTATTCTCTTCCACTGGTCTATGTATCTGTTTTTGTGCCAGTACTATGCTGTTTTGGTTACTGTAGCTTTGTAGTACAGTCTGAAGTCAGGGAGCATGATTCTTCCAGCTTTTGTTCTTTTTTTTCCTCAAGATTTCTTTGGCTATTTGGGGTTCTTTGTGGTTCCACACAAATTTTAGGATTTTTTGTTCTAATTTCTTTGAAAAATGCTATTGGAATTTTGATAGGGATGGCACTGAATCTGTAGATTGCTTTGGGTAGTATGCACATTTTAACAATATTAATTCTTCCAATCCATGAACATAGTATATCTCTTCACTTATTTGTGTCTTCTTCAGTTTCTTTCATTAATGTCTTATAGTTTTCAATATAAAGGTCTTTCACCTCCTTGGTGAAATTTATTCCTCGATATTTTATTCTTTCTGATGCAGTTATAAACAGGATTGTTTTCTTTATTTCTCTTTCTGATAGTTAGTTATTAGTGTATAGAAATCAACAGATTTTTATGTATTGATTTTATATCCTGTAACTTTACTGAATTCACTTACTAGTTCTAACAATTATTTGATGGAGTCTTTAGGGTTGTCTATATATAATACCATGTCACCTGCAAACAGTTACAGTTTTACTTCTTCTTTTCTAATTTGGATGCCTTTTATTTCTTTTTCTTGCCTAATTTCTCTGGCTAGGACTTGTAGTATTATGTTGAATAGAAGTGGTGAGAGGGGGCATCCTTGTCTTGTTCCATATTTTGTAAGCTTATTTTCTTATTACAAAACCAATCCATGCTTCTTGAAGAACACTCACAAAACACTGACCATCAAAAGTCATGTTCTAAACCCCCTCACGTTTCCCGCACACCCTGAGACAGCTCCTGTTAACCCTGGTCTCGTCTTCTCAGAATGTCTTTAGGTGCAGGCACAGGCCTGTGTATGTAGGTAAGTGTACATTTTTAGCCTATGTGAGTTTATGGGCCACCATAGTATTATAGCCAGACGTTTAACCAGCCCCCAAAGGCTGAGCATTTAGGGTCTTTCGAAGTGTTCCTCTTACCAACAGCGTTGCAGGAGCAGCTGGTGACAGAGGAGAGGAAAGGAAAGTGAAAAGTGGGGAACTTGGGGCCTTTTAGAGAAACTGCAGGATGTATTTACAGAGCAAGTGAGCTGGTACCAGAAAAGCAGGGGCTGGGCTTGGACCTGATGGCCCTTGTCTCCACTTTGTGTGTGGTTGGACACATCCACAATAAAAATGTTTAAAAAGTATGGAAGGGGACCAGAAAAATCTGAAAAAAATGTAAGAAAATGCATGTGGTTCTTACAAGGTTGCTCTGGAAGACCCAAAGGGGTCGGGCTGGAGTGTCCCTCTTCAACCTCGGACTTCCGGGCCCATTGTTCCCACTGTGCTCCTCCCTGAGGTCACTGGCACTGACCTCGGGTCCACATAAGCAGCGAGGTGAGGGGACCCCAGCCCGCACTCAGACCGGGAGGGATGACGGCGCTGTACTTTTGTATGAATACAAAACTAATTTGCAACTATCAGCAGTGAGTTAGCTCTTTGACGGGACTTTAATTTTCACACGAATATTTGTGAACTACCGCCAACTGCGCCTGGAGGTTCCCGATTCTGAGCTGCATGATGGTGGCCTGGTTACCCCTCCCGGACCCTGCAGGAGCGGCCGGGGCCGTCTGGAGCTCCCGTCCTCGGGTCCACCTGGCCTTGCGCATCTGCCTGGTGCCCCCACCCTCTGCTCCTCCACCGTAGCCCGCGGCCCCTACCCCTGTCTGAGCACTCGGCCCAGCCTCCCCCCCTCAGCCCTCTCCTCTGGGCTCGGCTAGAATCAGGGCTGGGGCCTAGGGCGTCGTGGGTGGGGGGAGCATGAACCCTCCATCCCCATCTCCTTTCCCAGGATACCAGGCCCCCTTCTAGGGGCACCTGAGACACAGTAAAGAAAAACCCTGACGTCACAGCTTCTGCCAGGTGTTTAAAGGGAGGCCCAGCAGGCGAGAAGGAACCTTTGGCTTGAAAATGAAGGCTCGGAACCAGCCACAGGAGAGCTCTGAGTGACAAAGTAGCCGAGATTTGGGGTCTGTTCCCATGGAGATGTGCCCAAAGGCCCCCAGAGTCCTCGGAAACAGTGGGCGGGGCCGGGGGTTTAGGGGAGAGTCCAGGTGCCCCAGCGGTGAGGGAGGCGCCCTGTCATAGACTGCGTCCGGGTTTCTCTGCTGTGTATCCGTCCTGATGAGAGGCCAGCTGTGTCCCAGGTCGGGGGTCCTGTCTGTGGGCAGGGGCTGTGTCCATAACGAAGGGCCGTTCTAGAAGTTTCCTTGGACAGGCCCAAAGTGGAAGCCACTAGCTGGTGAGCTGTTGTGACGGGCGGTCCGCCCTGGACAAGGCTGTCCTTGAGGGGACAGGCGGCCGAGGCACCCGCAGCACCAGGCCAGCTGCGCGGGCCCTGTGCCCCACAGGAGCTGGGTGCTGGGACTCGCACGCTGGTCCTGGGCTTGAGGCCCTGGCACTGCCCAGCGACTCCTGCCGCTCCTGCTTCTGTCCCCTGGACTCCCACCTCCCCGTCCCCAGCTGGTGGGCTCAGGGGAAGTGGAGCGCCGGGAGGGGACTTTCCCATGGGGGCTGGGAGCAAGGTGACAAGGTCCAGGCCCTGGTCAGCCTCGGGAGCCCAGGCAGCGGAGTGAGGGTGGGCAGGAGGGATGGGACCCCGAGATCAGCTCGCTGGCTACTCCAATCCGCCCCCACCCCAGGAAGGAACGTGGCTGGGTCAAGGTGGGGTGGGCAGGCCCCCTCCTAGTCAGCTGCTGAGGAAGCCTCAGGTGCAGAGCTTTCCGGAAGCAGGGAGGCCTAGGGAGGGCTTGTAGACTGACCGGCTGAGAAC